GACCACACAAGAATCAGAGTAGAACACGTGTGACTTTAGAGAGCAGAGGAGGTAAGATGGAAATAACCACTGAACAACAACTAAAAGGGAAAAAAATACACAGAGTGCTCAGGGGATGGGCAGAAAAGTGTCATCCACACGTGAACTTGTGGTATCTGTGTTTCCACCTGTAGAACAGTCCAGCAGGGGCATGGATGGAGCTTATCCCACCTGTGCCTTGTCTCCAGAGGATGCAGGTGTGTGTCCCCACACAAGGTGGACATGAGGGAAGGCAGAATCAGGTGACCTGCTCTAAAAGTGCCCCTTGATAACAGTTTCCATCTCCTACACTAGAGCTGAAATCTGACCCATCAGTTGTGTTTGGAGATCCCAATTTTAATGCTGCTCCACGTTTTTTTTTTGGAGTGACAGATGAGATGCACATTCCTAAAACAGCCCTTGGTGCAGCACTGTGCACTTTGCATCCCCATTTATAATCATTTACAAAGTGGTTCTGCAGCAAAACAATATCATATTTTGCTAATTTCAAAACTTGAGAGCTTTGGAAACGGGGTGTAAAATAGCAGCTTTTACCTTAGGGAAAATAAAGGCACGAGAGGTGAAACTGTGGGAAAAAGTCACGAGGAACTGTTTTCTCAGTCCACTGTCCAACCACAGAATTGTGTGACTGCTTTCTTTCAAAATAGATGAAAGATGGAGTTGAAAGCAAAGATGAATTTCATAGTTGCTCCTCTAGGGATGGACAATTCTGGCTTCCATAAAGCTAACCATAATTTCACAGAAAGGCTTGGAGAATCCTGCTTGGCAGTCGTGCAGTGGGAGTGAACAAATGCACAGATTCTTTATCCAAAATAGCAAAGGCTCATTTCCTTTACCACGACATTTATTCTGCTTATGAGAGCGTGAAAATACAAATCTGTAGAATATAAACAGGCTGTTTTATTCTTGCCCAGTGCTTGAAGTCAAACTGTGTTGCATGATGGATGAGCTAAGGAAAAAAAAAAAGCAATTATTGGAGAGGACACACTTTGTAGAAATGGGACTTTGTGCCCTGAGAAAGAAATACATCTTCTGTTTGTCCACAGCCAGCAGAGTTTTTCTATGTTCTCATTCCTGGGTTGCTGTGTTTCAGCTCTGTGGGGATGTAGGGACAAGTTTGGGCTGGGATTTGAATGAAGCCATTTATTTTCTGCCTCATTTATGGCTTTTAATGGATCTACTAAACTCCATCGTAACAGAGCTTGAGGGAGGGAGCTCTGTAAGCTGGTCAGGAAATATAGGAATAATTAGTAGAATAGAAATACTCCTGTGAACCTGATATGGGAAACGTGGATTTTGGTAAAAAAATCAACAGTGGTGGGTTTGAAATGGACATCTTGGACATGGATATGGATTCTGACCTCATAGAATCATAGAACAGTTGGGTTGGAAAGGACCTTAAGGATGTCTGCAACCTGTTGGTCTCAACTTTTGTCTATGCTGAATAGAAATAGTTTATACATTGATTTTTGAACATTTTCTTAACACTTAAGGTGCTAACATCCCTTACACTAATACATTTACATAGTTAATATATACAAATAATTAAATGCAGTGGTTAAACTTCAGTTATTAGGTGGTATAAACATTCTCTGCTAATTAAGAAGGTTATTTTCCTTCAATATTGTTTATATTCTGCCTCAGTCATGACATTTTATTAATCATAACATTTTCCTAGTCATTATTCTCTCTCTCAAGTTTCATATCTGTGTGCTTAATCCACAGATCCCTTGACCTTTAACTACTTAAGAACTGGCAGCACTTCATTGGAATCTTTTCTGTTTCAAACCTTCTTGATAGCCCAAGGATCCTCTCTGTGCTCACACCTTTCCTTGAAAAAACACCAGTGATATCAATAATTACATTACTAGGCCAAGATGCTTTATGCTGTTGCTTTTTCCCAGTTTTCTAAAACTTCAGTCCGATTGATAAACTCACAACTTTTCAGAATAATTGATTACATTCACCTCTTATTTAAGCCTGAAGTGTTTATTTTATATTTACCAGTTTTGTGTCTTCCCTAATTTGAGACTTTTGCTCCATCCCATGACATCCTTGTTCTGTTTTTAGAGCAGGTGCTCACTATTTGTGCCACAGGCTTTCTTTTCCCTGTTTTACCCTGAGTTTCCACGTCTCCTATTCCTCACAATTTTGTGATTAACCCCTGCAGCAGGACAGCTGCCTCAGTAATCACTCTGCTCAGAACTCATCTGATTTCTCCTGTTTGAATATTCAGTGTCTCCCTCTTTGCTGGCTAAACCTTTAAGTACCTCATTTTCTTTCCACATCCTCTTCATCAGAGCAGATGATCTTAATTACATCAGGTACAGCCTGGATGTGATATTTGAAGTTCTGCATTATACTGATGGGTGTGTTATCATCCAGCAGGATACCAGGGCTTTTATTCCTCAGCTTTACAATTGTAAATTTAATTTAGTTCTTTTTTACTTTGCTGCCCACTCCTTCTACTTTTGAGAGTACTGAAGGAGTCACACTGGTGAAGGTACCAGTTAATATGAAGACTAATTTTACATGAACACTAATTCACACCCTTCACAGTCTTGCACATCTGATTTTTTATGTGAGGGGTTTGGTCTTATTGCTCCTTCATATTTTGCAACCTCTCCATCAGGCCTGGAGATGGTTTTATTCCCAGTAGGCACACACAGGTACACAGAGCCCACCAGGGACAGATCACCACGGACAGCAGAGCTTTTACAGCCACCATAAACACACTGACAGCTCTCAGATCACCAGGGACAACATCCATGTCCTGCTCCTGCTTGTAGCCAGCTGGGGGTCAGCCTCTTCTTCCAGGAAATGACCTCAAGCTGTGCCAGGGGAGGCTCAGGTTGGACAGGAGGAGGAATTTGTTGCTGGAAAGGGTGGTCAGGCCTTGGCAGGGGCTGCCCAGGGAGGTTTGGAGTCCCCATCCCTGGAGGTGTCCCAGGAAGGCCTGGCCATGGCACTGAGTGCTCTGGGCTGGGGGACAAGGTGGGGATGGGGCACAGGGTGGATCCATGGGCTGGGAGGGCTTTTCCAACCCAAATGATTCTGGGATTCTGCTTTCCCTTGCCAGTGAGTCAGTCTCAAAATTTGGCTGTAGCTTTTATGCTCTCACACAAACACACTCACAAGGATCTCACTGTGGTGGCTTTTGTGTTCTCCAGCTCCAATCCTGCAAACCAGATGTCAGGTTCCATGGAGCACCTACACATTATTCACTGGGCACCTTGACACAGAATCACAGAATGGGGAGGGTTAGAAGGGCCCACAGTGGCTCATCTGGTCCCACCTCCCTGCTCCAGCAGCGTCATCCCAGAGCACACGGCACGGGATTGTGTCCAGATGGGTCTGGAATATCTCCAGTGAGGAGACTCCGCACCCTCTCTGGACGATCTGTTCAGGGCTGGGTCACTGCCCAGCAAAGAACTTCTTCCTCCTGTCCAGGTGGAACTTCCTGGGCATCAGTTCCTGCCCGTTCCTCTTGTGCCATTGCTGGGCCCCCCCGAGCAGAGCCTGGTCCATCCTCTGCCCCCTCCCTGCAGCCCCTACAGACCTGGGGGAGGTCCCCTCTCAGGGTCTGCTCTGGAGGCTGAACAGCCCCAGCTCCCTCAGCCTTTCCTGCTCCCAGAGATGCTCCATCCCTTCAGCATCTCCACAGGAGAATCATCTTCCAGGAGCTCCATGTCCCTCCTGTCCCGGTGTGAGGTGATCCCTATTGAAGCCATGAACTTCACTGCTGTTCCCAATGTCCAGATCCATTCTTTACTCATGAGATCAGGTTTCAGCAATAGCAATCTGTACCCTGTGCCTTCCTCCCATCAAATGGTCTAAGTTTATATTTAAAACTCTACATCAGGTGTGTCAGTTCATTCCAGTGCCTGTTTTTCCCCATAAGGATCTAATTTGAATTAGGGAGATAAATGGAAAATTCGAATACTCAGGAAGTGTTTCTTTTTCCTCCTTTCTAAATCCATTTTCTGTGGTTGTATCTTCAGACCTTTAAACTCAGAGCTTATTATAGAGAGGGAGTTGGTTTCCAGGTAGTGGTGTGAGGCTCAAACCAGTGCAGGTGTGTGGCCAAGAAGGGTTCACTGGGTGATGGATGCACAAAAATCAGGAATACAACTGAACAGTTAAATCACAGCAAGACTCCAACTGATGACAGTGGAAACTTTATGGGGAGTTAGGAGGAAACACACACTGCAACAAAGCTGGGAACTCTTCTGCTTCCCTGATTTTCCTACTCACAGATGTACCAGATGAGTTCTCTTTCTTGTCTTTATATAGTTGTGTTCTGCCAAACTGCATTTTCAGGTAAAAAAAAAAAAAAGTCAACTATTTATGGTGTCTAAACTGTTATGGGGAATAATTAATATTAAAGATAATAATAACATATTCCTAACAGAAAATATATGTGTACCTGAGCTATAAAAAGTACTAAAACATTTCTAGAGGTTATCCATTAAGATATCAGTTTAAAAATAACTTACTAAGATGGTTTTGGAAGTCAGTGAAACAGGTAATAATGTTGCATATGGAGGCCAGAAGGCCTGGGCATGACCAGCTACGTACACTCAATTTATTCCAAACCCATTGAATTGTCTTGTTTCCCACTCTGTTATTATTTTGGAGAGTATCTTCATTTATCTACACTCCAAAGGACACTCCTCCTTCCCTTTACCAACAGGGACTGGTATTAGGTGTTCAAAATCAAGGTGATTGCCTTGTGAAAGGTGGTAAAACCAGAATTTTGGAGACATTATCATGTTGACTTGTCCAACTTTCACAGGGAATTCTGACACAAAGGTGAAATAAATCCTGAGGGCAGAGATGGAGTGGGGAAGCAGAAGGGCTGAGGCTGAGACATAAACACCTCAGTGAACTCATGGAGGGGAATGTTATGGACAGTTTGGAAATCTCCAGTAATAAATAAGCAGTGTGGTTTGTCCTTTCAGAATATGAAATTGAGAGATCATTTTTCCTGAGGATGAAGTGTGTCCTAGCCAAGAGGAATGCAGGATTGACGTGCAGTGGATACAAGGTAATGTATATAAACTTTTTGTTCCACCCCTCAATTGTTAAAGAACTGACAAGTTTATTTATTTAGATTTATTTTTTTTTACACATATGTAGCTGAGAGCAAAATCTGTGATGAAAAGAATCAGTAAAGATCCAAACAATCCCACTCCTGACTGCAGATCCCCTTAGTAATGCAAGTCTAAACTCTCTCACAGCGAGCTGGAGTTTGCTTTGTGGCACATTCCCACGTCTTGATCCCTGCTCTTCCAGGCTGGGGAATTAGCTGGAGCCCAGCCATGGAGCTGCAAGGAGAGCACACAGCTAGGTCTTATTCCCCCGTGGAACTGGAGGCAGGTGAGGCAGGAACCCAGACACAGGAATTTGGAACCTTTCCACATCCCTCAGCCCCTGGCTGAGCCGCCACCCAGTTGCACAAGTCACCTCGTTGGCCTCCACATGGATGTTATTCCAAACAACCACGGCCACCACCCCAGGGCTGAATTGTACTAAACCACTAAGTCTGTTTGGAAATCTCTCTGTTTGTATTATTTTTCTCTTTATTACGTGAAATCAGAGGCCACAGCAAATGCTGAGGTTTTAGGAGAACAGCTGCCCCTCAGGTAGTTTTTATTTTCAACTTTGCAGGTAGTTTTTTATTCTCAGCTTTGCCGTGTGTATTTGCTGCTTTTCGAGCCACACAGAATAATTCTATCTCCATCAGGGAGGGTAATTCACATACAACTTGGTAAGGATTCTTTTTGTTTGAGTTATTCCAAACCAAAAAGAAAAGCTTGCAAGAGAAGCAGAGCTCCTTGAAGGAATGTGTTCAAAGTGCAGCCATATATCTGTTTATTTACCTACCTGGTTGGACTGATAATTCTTCATTATATGAACCCTGTTTGCTCAGCTGCTTCCCAGCACAAATGATCCTGTCCCAGAGCTGAATGTGAAATCAGGTAAAAGAGTAGAGCTTGTAGTGGTGGTATCTCTGTATTTTAATTCCCATTTACCTCTTCTAGTCAGAGACATCACCTTTTTTTGCTCTCTGTTAAAAGTTTGCACAGTGAAACATTAAAGGATTCATTTATCTAGAGAGTTGTTGGCCTAAATTTATTCCCTTTGGCTGTACTCAGAGTCAGGGCTTAATTTTTTAAAAAATCACTTTATTAGGTGAAGCACAGGAAAAACTCATGGACTAAGTGATCTGGGAATTCAGATCTATTCACAGATCTTAAAGAAGTTTTTTTGTTATTGTACTTTTGCTAAATATATTAATTACTTAGTGACTGGAAAGGAGGAAGGAAGGTTATACAGGAGGAGCCTATTTACAGGTTTAATGGGTTGTTCAGGAATAGCAAATACAGTGAAAACTAATTTCTTTCCATTAGATACACCTAAAAGTCAAACAAACAGATAAATTAAGCTAAAGGATGTGTGTGTATGCCTGATTCTTGCAGTAGAAAATTACCAGGAGCACCAATGATTTCCAAACACCAGCACTACATTAACTCCATCTTATGTTCTGGAAGAGTCCCCAGGTTGCATTTTCCCCTCCTCTTTAGCTGACATGGTGAATTTTTACAGCCTAACACTGACATTATCACCTCTGTGATTAGGAATTGTAGGCAGGGACTCCGAAATCTGATCTCAGGGCTTGGGCGTGTGTCAGAAGAATATCATCTGAACTTGACCCGAGAACTTAAAACTCATTTCTTGTGCATTTACACATACAGCAGTTAAGCCTTATAAATGGGATGTGTTAGTATCCACTAGATTACTAAAGTGTCTGGTTATCACGAGAATAACTCCTCAGAATGTAAATGTTTTTATGTGTGTGAGAGATGGTCGTTTCAAAAAAGCAGCTTCCGGATTTTTTTATCAATGAGCAGGAGTTCTGTCTGTATCTACAAGAAAATGTTAACTAGAAATCAGTTAGATAGTCCCCCAAGAGCATGTGCTTTAATACTGGATTAATCGTGTGGGCAGTAAACACAGATTTTGTGTTTGCTGTGTTTGGGTCTCCATTGACGAATCCACCTCAACCCCAAAGCTTTAACAAACTAAGCAGAATTTAAGGGTGTGTGGCTTTATAAAATCATTAATAATGAGCTGTTGGCTGCCTTGCCATCAGAAACTGTGTTTTCTTCCCCTTCCAGGTGATCCACTGCAGCGGCTACTTGAAGATCCGCCAGTACATGCTCGACATGTCTCTGTACGACTCCTGCTACCAAATCGTTGGGCTGGTGGCTGTAGGTCAGTCTTTACCTCCCAGTGCAATCACCGAGATCAAACTTCACAGCAACATGTTTATGTTCAGAGCAAGCTTGGACTTAAAGTTGATATTCCTGGATTCCAGGTAAGCAGCTCTTTCCGTTTCGAGCATCAAAACTTTTCCAAGGTCGAGCGTTAACATCAGCCACGGTGGTTTCCAAACACGTCAAAACATCCATGAAAAAATAAAGCAGGCCAAAATAGATCTGGAACTCGAAGGCCATGTGAGTCTTCAAAGCCTTTCAGGCAGCTGGATAGACCATGCTTTGTCTTGAATGCCAAGAAATAGGAGCCTGGACAATTTAACCTGGAGTTACCTGTGGTTGGAGAGAGTCTGAAGCCTTCTTGCAGTGAGTTTTCATCGCATGAGCAGTGACACATTTTTACCTTAAATGACACAGATTTTAAACATACAAAGCTGGCAGAAGGAATGAGGACATACCTGAAAAAACCACCCCACACCTGGAACACTGAGATTAAATGACTTGCTAGTGTCACCCAGAAAGCTTTTGACAGAGTAGAAAAAAAAGAGAGTCTTGTGCACTTTGTTGTGCCTTAACCATGAAAACAGTGCTCTTGATGGGGTTGTGGGCATGAAAATTAATTCCATTCTCTGCTGCATGGAAACACGGCCTTCTCAAACAAAATCTGGGGAAAACAGCTATTGCTGAGGAAAGACAACCCTGCCTTCACTCTCAGCTGGTGGGAGAAGAGCCCAGAACCAGAACTAAAATGATTGATTTCTCTGGTTTTTGAAGCAGAGTAATTTGTAACACACAATGGTACTTTGTACAGTGCAGTTCAAGATACCTGAGGGGAAAAGTCCAATACACACACTATTGACAAGATGATTATCCTTCAGAAATCCCTGCCTGTGGAGCGTGTGTCCCATATTTCCCTGGCAGGCTGGGTTTGCAAGAAGCAGAAATTATATTCGTGTGCAGTAGTGACAAAGAATCTGTATCCAAGACGGTGGGGGAGCTTGGCATGGCAGGCCAACCATGCAGGAACATGCTCCTTCTCCATGCTGAGTCCATGGGACAGTGGGCCATCAGCTGCTAAAATACAAAGAACCTCTTGTTTCTGGGATAATTCCTATTTTTTTGGCGCACGTTACTCGATGTAACAGCTACAAAGGAGCACGAGGGGGTTTAGCAACATGTCTTTGCATGTGGGAAAAAAAAAAAAAGGAAATGATGTGCCTGAGAGGAACTGCCTGGAGACATAAGTGTCTTCAAAGGAGACAGAACAACCAGAGGTGTTGACAGGAGCAAGGAGAGACCCCGAGCTGTGTTTGCCAAAGAGCAGATGGGTGTCATCCACACACGGGGCAATCGGGGGTATTAAACATTGCCAAAACCTCCTGCTCTCCCAGCTGAGCAAACCAAGCTCTGTTTGTTCAGAGCAGGGACATATTGGGAATAAGACTAAGCTTTTTTCAGGCTTGGTTCTGGTGGTATCCACGCATGGGAAAGTGCTGCTGGATCTTCAGAGGTAACAGTCACAGCAGAGAGTGTGAAAGCCATGGGAAGGAGCAGCTCAGCAACCTTTTCTAGGCACTGATATAACATAAAACACCCAAGAGTCCATTCATTGAGGGCACTGGAAAAAGGAGACAGTCACTTCCCTCCAAAGTGAGCTGCTCCTTCTGATTTTTGTGGTGCAGCTCATGCATTCACAGAATCCCAGAATATGCCAAGTTGGAAGGGACCCACAAGGATCATGGAGTCCAACTCTTAACCCTGCACAGGACCATCCCCAAGAGTCACACCATGAGCCTGAGAGGATCATTGCTGTGTGGGTAATAAGGCTTTAGAGAATTCTAGAGACCAAAACTGATCCTTAGGACAAACCCTCCTCCCTGTCATGTGCAGAGAACAACCTTGAGAGCCCAGGCTCCCTACAGTGGGTGGATTTTATGTTGAGGAAATAAAACAGATGAGTTTGTATCCAGACCCAAACATTTTAAAACTTCAAAGTGAGACAGGGCCCTTTGGAGAAACGAACACCTGGCTTAGGTTGGTGGTGTCTTGTTTGGGTTTGGATGAGCTGTTTCTGAGCTCACCAAGCCACCCTCTTTTCAATTGCACTGGAGTCAGAAAGAGCACTGGGACCTGAGCAGGATCTTTCACCAGCACTTCATGGTGCTGGTAGGATTAAGTGAGAATTTGGGACCAGAACACACTGCAGAGGAGAAACACAAGCAAAAATTCCCACATCGTCCTGCAGAAAGACACCACACGTGCTCACTGCTCGTTGGCTCAGTCCCTGGCTGAGGCAAAGGCATGCAGGATTTTCCCAGGGGAAGGCATAGCTAGGGAGGTATGGATGTATTTGTACCCTATTTATAATAAATCAGTACTCAAAGGCATTTTTATGTTGTTGTTTTTCTGATTTCCTTCAGAAGAACCCAAACACCCAACACTTTCCCAAGCAGAATGTCAAGTGCCCAGTCTCTGTGGGGTCCCCAGGGCTGGTTAGAGACAGAATACGAGTAGAGAAGGTGCATAATAGTTACAAAAGAAAAAAAAAAACTAATAAAAATTTGCATTATCTGCATTCCCCCATTGACAAATGTTGCTTGAGAGCCTGTATTCAGTAAGTCTCTGGTGCAGTGCATCCTCATCAGTGCTTGAGTTCAGACCAGGAACATCCTTTTGAAGCCAAAGAACACTGCAGTTCATACCACGAGGAGACCTTAGGCATTTAAACTGGATTCCTTCAATCCAAACTGGAGGACAACCTCCCAGGGCAAGCCCAGGGCTGTTACAAAGCTTTCAGTCCACAGGCCTAGACTAGAGCTAGTCCTAAGTAAAAGTCCTGAAATTAAACATGCAACTGCATCTGCTGGTGCAGCAGATCCTCAGCAATAACAATTTTACTCTCTGAAACATGAAGTTTGACTCTTCACGCCTGATCTTGGTTCTTTAACATCTGCAGAGACGTTGCTGTTTCAAATTCCTTCCCTTTTTTTCTACTTCTCATCACGTGAGGGTGTTTTTCTGAAGTCAAGCTTCAGCCTTCCTTCCCTTTACCTTGTGGTCTTTGCACCTCCTTGTGTTTCCACGTTCTCAGCTGGAATAAGCTCCTGCTTCCTCCTTCTGCTGGGCACCAGTCTGAATTAATTCACAGGCCATGATCACAGCTCCTGTGGACCAACACACATGTTACACTTGTATGTTTGCAAAAGCAAATGGAAATGTCTCAGCAGCCCACCGGAGTGGTTTTATTGTTTCATGAACGGCTCCTCGACAGGAACTTTGTGCAAAGGGTCTTGAGTGGCAATGGCAAAAGCTGGAGGTGGAAACAAGTAAAAGAGCTCTTTTTCCTGCCTGTGTGTACCAGGGAACAGCTGCACCTTGCTTTGGCAGGGTTGAGAGGGTTTATTTTCTTATAAAGATGAGGATTCTGTTTCCAAAACTAACATTTTTGTCCCACAGCTTTTAGGCACCTGATTTGTTGGCACAGTCGAATGTTAGGTTAATGAAATGGAATATTCCCGGAGTTTTTTGTTTATTATGGATTGTTCCTTTTCCAGGGTCACTGAATTAACTGGATATGAACCCCAAGATCTGATAGAAAAAACCCTCTACCACCATGTCCACGGCTGTGATGTGTTCCACCTCCGATATGCTCATCACCTGTGTAAGTACTGGGAACGTGGGCTGGAAGCACAGGAAGGACTTAGACCTGTTGGAGCAAGTCTAGAGGAGGCCCCAAGAGGATCCCAGGGCTGGAGCAGCTCTGCTGGGAGGAAAGGCTGGGAGAGCTGGGATTGTTCAGCCTGGAGAAGAGAAGCTTTGGGGTGACCTGATTGTGGCCTTGCAGGGCCTGAAGGAGCTCCAGAAAAGATGGAGAGAGACTATTTCCAAGGGATGGAGTGACAGGACAAGGGGGAATGGCTTCAGAGAGTAGTGTTAGATGGGATATTAGGAAGAAAGGCTGTGAAGGTGGTGGGGCTCTGACCCAGGTTGCCCAGAGAAGCTGTGGCTGCCCCTGGATTCCTGGAAGTGTCCAAGGCCAGGTTGGACAGGGCTTGGAGCAACCTGGTCTAGTGGAAGGTGTCCCTGCCGGTGGCAGAGGGTGGAATGAGATGATCTTTAAGGCCCCTTCCAACCCAAACCATTCTGTGATTCCACATTTCTATGAAATACATGGAGTAGAGTGAGAAGTTCTGCAGACAACAAGCACTATGATGGAAAGCAGAAAAAACTTTCCAAATCTTGATTGGAGACAGATTTTCAAAAGTACTTGGCTATCACTTAAGGAAACCATTAATTCTGCAAATAAGCTCAGTACTCAATCTGCCCTGCTTCTGAAAAAAAAATACTTATCTGGCCAGTTTTATCTTTGTACTTAGGAGGTCTGGGCTCTTTTGAAAATTTGGACTTGGTTCTGCATGGCTGAAGGAAAAAAAAAACAAAAGAGCAAGTGAGTGAGTGAGAGGGCAAAATCTGAACTTTACTAGCTTCTGTTGTTAAAATAAAAACTCTGCAACAGCTCCCCGTTCCTCTGAAATATGTTAGTAATAATCATCCCGTGTTTGAAGCGAATGCAAACCCAAAAAAGTCCTTAGAGGAACATTCATTATTAGCATGTGGATGAGGTTTGGGGAATGGATTGTCAGGAAAAAAAAATAAATTGCATTTAATAATTTTCCCATCTTCCAACAGAGACACCACTCATATCTTCAAACATCTGGATCTGGGAATTAGTTCATTCAGTAGCACATTAATTTGAAAAGCAAATTGAGGGAATAGCTGAACTCTGGATTTGGCTCAGTCTGCTGCAACCCATACGATGCAAAGATGACATCCAAAAACCAATGGCAGTGAATTTTTTTCCAGATTGCTCCTGTAGGCTGGAAGCAGCCAGAGTCAAATCCTTCTTCTAGGCTTCCTGAAGGAGAAACTAGTCAATTCTTCACATTAATATCTGCTGTTCATGAGAATCTGGAATATGAAGGATGTTGTAAGGGTGCTTGGCAAGTCAGTGCTGAAATTCTGAGTGCTGAGTTCCACTGGTGGCAGGGAAAGCTCCAGCAGATCTTTACAGCAAGGTCCCAAAACACTATTGAATACTCTGGGCCATTGAAAATTAAAAACTAGAATGACCAGGGTACATGGAAAAGTCCTGTCAGGGCATCATCATCTTTGCAGAGTTACCATCTGTATCTGGAGGGGACTGTTGACCTGCACAAAACATCCCTCCTTATTTTCACGAGACTATTTGAAATACCTTTATCAGCCAGCGTGGAGATGACACCACAGTAGCCACAATCACCTCTGAAAAACAGTTTTCCCCCCTTAGAGCAGAGTGATGGATAATTCTGTGTGCGTGGTAGATTTGTACTTTGGCTGCCAGTTTGATCTATGTATGCCTGGAGTTTGAAAAGAAGAGACAAATCATTACTGAGTTACCCACCACATCCTCCACGAGGAAAAAAAAACAAACCCAAACCTCAGCCAAACAGAATCCTAAGAGCAGTTCTGTGGATTAAAGATAAGTTATTGTAAAGTTTAAAACCAGAAGAAAAATGTGAGACATGCACAGGAATTTATGAAAGTTTCGAAGCAAATGAATCCCGAGAAGCAAAAAACAATGAGAAATTCTTGGGCAACAGTGCAGGATCATTGTTAGGATACCAAGTAATGGGAATTATTAAAACAGATGTAAAGTGTACAAACTCCCCCTGGGGAGCATGGTTAGAGCTCCCCCACAATCCATCAGTAAATGTCTTAGGAACATGAACAGCAGAAGGTTGGCAGGTTTGAGGTACCATTCTCTAAAGCAATCTGATGATGAGGTGTCATCTGACGAAGAAAGCCAGAGAGAAACATCTTACACCTAATAAGGGTATTAAGAAAAGAATAAGTAACCCTAAACTGGGGTGATCATTTGCTTTTTCAGGGAGGAAAAAAAAAATTATCCCAAACTGCAGACCCAAAGCAACTGAACTCCAAGTCAGGCAGCACAGAGAATAAAACAAAGGGAACAGTGAGGAGAACAAGTTAGAAGGGATGTAACAAGAACATCAAGCTGAGAGGGAAGTGGAGATGTGGATATTTGCCTAAGGTGTGCTGGCAGCAAACAGGGTTTCCTGTTTTAAACTCTTGATTGGCTTCCAGCTACATGAAAACACTCGTGGCCTTTGAACTGGTGTTATTTATTTCTGTAGCCCCATTAATACCCACAGTGTTCCCTGCAACCAGGGAGGTGTGGCCACACAAATAACGAGGATCTTGCTTTCTAAAACACGGGATGGAGAGGCTGTTCCAGCCCAAGACAAAATATCTTTGTGCCCTCAGAGAAATCTCTTCACTTGTACCTGCGAGGGGGATTCTGTGCATCCCCCATGTTGTGACATCATTGCTCTTCCCACGTAAACTTTAAGAGGATTCACATCTCTGTCCCTTGGCAGGGCATCTGCCCCGGCTGATGTCATCACCAAACAATTTTCCTGCCTTCTGGAAGTCAAACTTTGTATTTATAGAACTCATGTTGCAGCAGAGCACAGTTTCACTGTCTCTGCTCCCTCAGCAACCAAAACCTCCTGGCAGAGCAGCATTGGGTTTTAAGAGGTCCAAAGAACTGCAGAGCCTGCTGGGCACCATCCCCTGCCCACCCTGCCCGAGGGAAGACAAAACAGGACCTGCTCCCAGCGTGGAACCAAGCAACCCATTTCTCTTGGTGGCATCCTGAAGGGCAGGCTGGGAACTCCCAGCCACACGCCCCGGGAGCCCGATGGAGCCTTTTAAAATAGTCGTCTCTGACAGACCAGAAGGACCAGCCCAGCCAGCCCAGTGCCTTTTTCAGCTCCTCTGCTAAACCAGGAGGGAGCCACAACAGTGGAACACCCAGTTCCAAATGGCACATCCCAGAGCCAAGGCTGAAGCCACGGAATCCTCCCCGCTGGATTGCAGCGGAGGCCACCAAGAAGTCTGAGCCTGCACAGATTGTCTTGGTAGTGGGTTGACCTCGCTCCCATTTCTGAGGTTTCCCATTCAGCATCAAACAGGGCAATTTAACACAGAGCCAGATGGAAGATGACCTCATTTACTGTCTCAGAACCACAGCTACTGTCCCCCCAGCCAAGGTCAGACTTTCCCCAGATTGCTAAAAATGCAGGAGGCATGGAGTCCTCCCCCATCCCAGGAGAAATATTGGTTTATCCATATAATTACGAAGGAAAGCTGAACACTGTAGTCCTCAGTGGTTTTCACATCTTTTAAAATACTGTCTTAACTGCAGAGCTAAAACAGGGGTTTAGAAAAAAGTATCAGTGAGAGAGAAAGGAAGCCAAAACTAGTCCCAAAGCACAGGAAAGAACTTTGTTATAACTAGTGATCCGTGACAGCATTAATTTCTCTTTCAGCAGACTGAGTAGCAAGGCATTTTGAACTCAAGGAAAACGTGCCCATTAAACTAGCACAAAGACTTAGTTCTGAAAAGCCTCGACCACACGCCAAAAACTATCTGTTAGATGATCTGGGATAATGTGTAAGCATCATTTCCTGGAATGGGACCATCTGGATTATAGAATGAATCACAAAATCATAGAATCACAGAATGGCTTGGGTTGGAAGGGACCTTAGAGATCATCCTGTTCCAACCCTCCTGCCATGGGCAGGGACACCTTCCACTATCTCAGGTTGCTCCAACCTGGCCTTGGACACTTCCAGGGATGGGACAACTATAGAACAACACCCACAATTAATAGGAAAACAAGAAATAGTGAACCCATGGCATACAGCTGATTATTAACATATATTTTTTAGAACAGACTTACTTGGCACTGTTAGACTGAATTTTGACCAGCAGCTACAGGACCTTTACCTTGGAGTGATAAATTACACTTAAAGATTACATGCCTTTATATTTTGTGGGTGTGTTTTCATACTTACACACACAGTCCTCATGATTGTCTTAAATGTCTCACATCTGCACAACTCTACTCCACAGAGCATTCCATGTAGAAATGCAGGAGTGAGGAAGGACACTGTCAAGGATGAGGCAAAAAGCTGAGAGAGACTTCAAGCCATAAATAGCAGTGGCCTGATACCAGTGAGGGTGGGGTTTTGAATATCCTGCAAGATCATAGAATCATAATCCTGAGTTGGGAGGGACCCACCAGGATCACCCAGTCCAAGCCCTGGCCCTGCCCAGGACACCCCAACACTCCCCCCTGTCCCTCAGAGCGTTGTCCAAACCCTCCTGGAGCTCTGGCAGCCTTGGGGCCGTGCCCACTGCCCTGGGGAGCCTGGTCAGTGCCCACCACCCTCTGGGGGAAGAACCTTGTCCTGAGATCCACCCTGAGCCTGCCCTGTCCCAGCTCCAGCCCTTCCCTGGGTCCTGTCCCTGCTCCCAGAGGTCGGAGCTGCCCCTTGGGAGGAAGTTGTAGATGTTGTTGTTCATCTTGTTGCTATGTTATGCTAAAATGACACTTCCAGAAAGACCTGTCTACAGGCATTTTCTAAGAGCCTGATTCTCTAAGGGAGATTATCCGGATTTGGAAGGAAGTTTATATATGTTGTGACTTGTGAAGACGGATGGGAGAGTCAGAAGTCCAAAGAGATGGTTTATATACTCCAGACTTTGGGGAGACCTCACTGAGGCCTTCCAGTACCTTAAGGGGGTTTATAAAAAGGAGGGAGAGGGACTTTTTGTCTGGGCAGGCAATGACAGAACAAGGGGCAGTGATTTTAAACTGAGAGAGGGTAGGGTTGGATTAGATATTGAGAAGAAATCCTTCCCTGTGAGGGTGGTGAGACCCTGGCCCAGGTTGCCCAGAGAAGCTGTGGCTGCCCCTGGATCCCTGGAAGTGTCCAAGGCGAGGTTGGATGGGATTCTATCACTGTCCATGGCAGGGGGTTGGAACTGGATGATCTTTAAGGTCCCTTCCAACCCAAACCATCTATGATTCTATAATTGACTTAGAGGACATTTTAGCAAGAACAAGAACCCCTTGCACTTCTATTTCTGTCAGTCTTACATCAGAATATTCACATTATTCACATTAATATGGTCCCTGTTTGGTATTGAAATTACAACTCCCTACTCCCTCATGTAACAACTGAGCAAAAAAACCCAACCCCAGCAATGACTGATAGCAGCACAATTAATTATCAAACAGCAGTCAACCCCCCAAATATTATCTCTTTAACTCTTATTAATTCTTTAGTTCCCAATTTAATATTAAATGCTCTCCTTGACAGAAAAATCCTTGATGAATAGTAATTGTAAGGCCAAGTATTTTCCTTTCTAGTAGGGATTTGCTCTCCTAGAGTTGTCTGAAAGAGAAAGCTGCTTCTCAGCTTCCTTATCATTTATCTGCTCCTGCACCAAACGTGTGCAAGGAGAGCACAAAATGACATTGAGCTTTGCTATTGTGTTCAGTCTAGTCCAAGCCCTGCATTTGCAAGCAGTAATTCCATTTTTTAATCACTTATTATATAAAGGAATTGCTGCTATTGGTCACTTTTTTTGAACATAATTTGTGCAGCGAGCTCAGCCCGTGGTTTCCTAATTTACAATAAATAAGTGATTGTACAGAAGAGTAAGGAGGGGGAATTTCCTGAAGGAATGATGAAGAGCCACACAAGAAAAGAACCACCTTAGAAGGCTGGGCATCATCTTCTAGTGAATCATTAGATAAATGCCTGGCACTGAACCAGAAATATTTGTGGCTGGATCAAATGTTTAGAGATGTTGCACCACTCCTGTTATAGCACAGCCTCATGTCAAAACATCCTTGTCCACAGAGGATCCAAAATAGTTTAGAGAGGATTACATGTGTAGTGAAAGATATCAGATAACTGATTCACCTCTCTGTCTTTGTCTTTATTTGGGTGCTTCACAACCAATTAACATTTTAATTTTAGTCTTTTAAATCACCCTTCAAGATGTAGAGCTTACAGAGGAAAAAAAAACAATCATAGCATAAAATACATTGTAAAATACACAATAATCTGTCAAGCTATGAATGACAGAAGTGCTTCCAAATATACTGGAAAAAATCACAGAATCCCAGGATCATCAAGGCTGGAAGACACCTTCAGGATCATCCAGTGCCACCCTCACCCAGCAGCACCACAATCACCCCTAATCCATGTCCCCAAGGGCCACATCCAGACACCTCTGGAACACTCCCAGACACAGGGACTCCACCACCTCCCTGGGACACTTATTCCAAGGCCTGATCCTTGAAGGGGAAATTTTTTTCCCTAATATCTCATTTGAACCTTAAGCCCATTTCCTCTCATCCTTCCAAACTTGCCATGTCCCCTTCAAAATATTTTTACTGCCTTGAGCTTTTCTTTCACCAGGAGAGAAGGGGGACAAACTTTAGGAGTTTTCAACATATTATATGAAAATAATAATGTGACATGATGAATCTACATAAAGGAGCTGCACAGACACATTTGCAGGGGGTTTGGTGGGAGGAGGAGGAGTTTTCCAGGAAGCAAAGGAGGAAAAAAAAGCCCTTGCCTTGCGAATAAGTCTTTCCAGGAAGCGCTCAAGGGTCCAAGAAACGGGAATTTTTTTGTTTTAATTTTTTTGTTGTTGTTGTTATTATTGTATTTACAGTGTTGGTGAAAGGCCAAGTCACAACCAAGTACTACAGGCTGCTGTCCAAGCACGGAGGCTGGGTGTGGGTGCAGAGCTATGCCACCATTGTGCACAACAGCCGTTCGTCACGGCCTCACTGCATAGTGAGTGTCAATTATGTCCTTACGTAAGTCAAAATACTTTGTACCATTCCATGTCGTCAGTAATCGATTCATTACTGGTTAAATACTTGTGGTTTTCTTTGTGTCTTTCTGTGGTTGCCTGTCACAGCCCCTTTCTCTGTTCATATCCCCCCTTTTGAGGTGCGGTCAGCTAAAAGGAGTTAATGTTCCTCACTGCTGTATAAATCCTCATTGTGTGCAGGGAGGAGCAATGGAGCTGGGGATGGGTCTAGAAATCATGTCTTATGAGGGATCAGGGGGGGTCTAGTCTGGAGAAGAGGAGGTTAAGGGGGGACCTCATTGCTCTCCCCAACTCCCTGACAGGAGGGGGCAGGGAGGGGGGGTCAGGCTCTGCTGCCATGTCCCAAGGCAAAGGAGGAGAGGAAATGGCCTTAAATTGTACCAGGACAGGTTCAGATTGGAGATTAGAATTATTTTTTTTCTCTGAAAGAATAGTCAGGCCTTGGAATAAGTGTCCCAGGGAGGTGGTGGAGTCCCTGTGTCTGGGAGTGTTCCAGAGGTGTCTGGATGTGTCCCTTGGGGACATGGATTAGGGGTGATTGTGGTGGTGCTGGGTGAGGGTGGGACTGGATGATCTTGAAAGTCTTTTCCAGCCTTGATGATCCCATGATTCTGTGATCAGAAGGTAAAAAACATTGCAGCTCAATGGTGGTGTAGTTACAAGCACACGATGCTGACGGGAGAGGAACGATGCTCATTTTCCTTCCCTCGGGGCTGATTGTGAGAGCCAGGACAGAGACCAATTCCTGACTGAGCAGGAGACAAATTAATTGACCTGTGTCTTTCTATCTGCTGATTCCAAACCTCGGGGTGCCCACGGGGGGCTGAGAGAAGTTGGCACAGCTTGGGTTCAGAAACAAAGACGTTAACGTGGTTCTCAGTGTTCTGATTTTGTCAGAATGTTTGTGATAGACTGGCGTGGGGATGAGGTCAGACAATAAGATTCCCTGCCTGCTGACATTCCCAGACTCAGGAAAAATCTTGGAAGAATGAAAATTAAAACACTGTGAAATCTAATATGTCTTTTCACAGGAGCTCTTTTGGTTTTGTGTGGCCTGTTTGAGGATGTAATTCATTGGACTGTTCTTTTGCAGAGATATTGAGTATAAGGAACTTCAGCTGTCACTGGACCAGGTTACCATTTCCAAGTCACAGTTTTCATGCAGAAACTCAGTACCTACCTCGCAGGAAACAAGGAAAATAGTCAAACCCAAAAGTAATAAAATGAAGGCAAAACTCAGAACAACACCTTACCCACAACAGGTAACTTTTTCAGCAACATTTATTTACCAGTTTTTGTCATAGAGTGCCTGGGGCAGGATAAAGATCATCCAGGACTGAATTTACTATAACACTGACGTGTTCTGCCTCAGGAAATCCCTCATAAATCAGATTACAATTAGATCCTTTTGTTCTTGGGGTGGACAGCATGGGTAGTACAAACCAACTCTGGCAAGTGATGCAAAAGCTTTTAGATGTGACATACGTAAAGTACTGAAAAAAACAATGTCTTTTCTTAGCAAAAAGAGGAAAAAACCCTACTAAGAATAGCTGTGTTGTGAAAATTTGTGCTGGTGTAGAATGAGTCTTGTTCCCTGTTGCCACATGGAGTCCTTGATGTCACATAGACATTACTTCATTCCCAACAGTGAGATCCCAAAAACCATTAGGAGGCTGGAGAGAAAGATGAGGGAGAGACTGGGAAGAAGAAAATATTGTGAAAGAAGCTGATGCAAAGGACAGATTTGGTTTTTCTACCATTCTAAAGCCTGACATGCTAAACCATATTCATGGTCTACTACTGCCAGTACTTTAGAACAAACTTCTGCCCTCTGGTACTTACAACTGCCTACACTCAGTTTGGCTGTGTCTGGTTCTGGGCCCTCATGGAAGAGAGACATGGAGGGGCTGGAGCGTGTGCAGGGAAGGGAACAGAGCTGGGAAGGGGCTGGAGCAGCAGGAGGGGCTGAGGGAGCTGGGGGGGCTCAGCCTGGAGAAAAGGAGGCTCAGGGGGGACCTTCTGGCTCTGCAACCCCCTGACAGGAGGGGGGAGCTGGGGGGGTCGGGCTCTGCTCCCAGGGAACAAGGGACAGGAGGAGAGGGAACGGCCTCCAGCTGTGCCAGGGGAGGCTCAGGTTGGCCAGGAGGAGGAATTTGTTGCTGGAAAGAGTGGTCAGGCCTTGGTAGGGGCTGCCCAGGGAGGTTTGGAGTGCCCATCCCTGAAGGTGTCCAAGGAAGGCCTGGCTGTGGCACTCAGTGCTCTGGGCTGGGGGACAAGGTGGGCATCAGGCACAGGGTGGACTTGGAGCTCTTTTCCAACCTCAATGATTCTGGGATTCTGTGAAACCAAAACTATCAAGTAAACACTTAACATCAGGAGGACAAAGCAGTTTTTTTGTCCCCACGTTAAGCGAAAGCAAAGTTATGATGAAGACAAGGAACTTCACCCTCCCCGGTGAGTCAGTCCCTGCAGCCCCTGAGATCGCAGGCGAAGGAGGCCCAGCCCCGGCCGCCTGTGTGATACATTCTACAGTTCCATATAAAAGTTTAACTCTCTTCCTCCCCCCATCCCCCCTTTTTTTTTTCTCTCTTTCCCCCAGCAATACAGCTCGTTCCAAACAGACAAACTGGAATGCAGCCAGGTGGGAAGCTGGCGATCCAGCCCCGCCGTGAACGCCGCCGCCATTCAGGAACAAAACTTCCATTCAGAAAACAGCGAACTTTTATACGCCCCACCGTACAGCCTGCCTTTCTCCTACCATTATGGACACTTCCCCGTGGATTCCCATGTCTTCGGTGGCAAAAAACAAATGCTGCCTGCAAAGTTCGGGCAGGCTCAAGGAGCGCCTTGCGAAGTGGCGCGGCTCTTCCTGAGCACGCTGCAGACGAACGGGGAGTGCCAGTGGCACTACACCAACCCCTTGGTACCCAACAGCCAGTCACCGTCCAAAAACCTCCCTGAGCAGCCAGTGAACATCATCAGGCACAACCTTGCACAGAGTTATGAAGGTGGGTGCTGCTTTGAGGAAAGATAAAAGGCTGCGGGGGTGTCTGGGAATGATTCGTGTCTTGAAAGGAGGGGTTTAGGAAACGGAGAAAATCAGAGGCAGTGAAAGGTAACAACCACTGTGTTTACAGTGTTCATATGTTGATCCTTCTTGCCATTGCCATCAGCACTTGGTTGGGAATATTATCCACATTCACCAATTCACCTGGTGGAATGGATTCACCAGGATCACTTTCAGAACAGCACAGAGATGCCACCTCCTTCAATACTGGCACAGTTCACTCTCATGCTTTGTACTCTCAGAGTTCTTTAGGGGAATTGCTCAGGTAAGTCATTGCTGAAGTCAGATTGAACCAAAATGTGCTTCAGCTCACACACAGGAATTAAAATAAACATGATCTGTTTCCATAAAAATTGAAGGTTGTCCTTTCTGAGCACGAAGCCATTTGGAATGTCTTCACCTTACAGTTACTACAGGGCAAAAATTCTGCTTTATTTGATAATAATTCTGAATTTGAAAATGTCTTCAGTGCTCCTCCCCACTATCTATCTCCCTGTACAGATGGCCAGCTCAAATGCTTTGAAGGAAGCACTGAAGACATTGACTTCTTTGAGGTGGCAACCTGTAAAAATAACCTTGAAAAGTTATGAAGTAACCAAATGTAAAGCAGCTCAAAATACACTCTAATCACAGAATCACAGAAGGGACCTCTGGAGATCATCTAGTCCAACCCATTAATTTTTTCCCCTGTATTCAACAATAATAGGGTTTATTGCAGTGGTTTTGGCAGAGCTTGATCTCTCATTATAAACACTCCTGGGCTCACAGCTGGGCCAACTGGAAAATGAAAGCTGAGTGAAGCTGGGATGTTTTCTCCTTCAACATAGGCAAGGAAGAATGTTAATTATCTAAAGAAACAGAAATAGTAGGACAAACCAGACTCTGGCAAATCAGAACGTTTCAGGATGGTGTCAAGAGTATCTTCAGCTCAAGTAACAGCATTAAATACTCCTCTCATTCACCTTCCTCTCACACAACTCTGAATATAATTGCTTTCATGAAATAATTGCTTTCATGAATGAGCCTCAAAACCAAGTTCTGCTGAGATTTCAGGTTGCTGCTTATTTTAGCAAAAATAGCCTTAGCTGGCCTAGATTACCCCCCCCCCTACACACACACAGACTTTACTTTCAGTAATGGTGATTTGTACAAAAACCTGTTACAAAAAGATGCAAAGTAAAATTACATATAAAACCCCACCACAAACTGGTTTGGACACTCACATTAATTAGTTTTTTGTGAGTTAAGATGTATCTGAAACTGTCAGGTAACATCAGCAAGTGCAGAATTCAGATCAGCTCTGTAACAGAATGCACAGGGCTGGAAATCTGCTGAATTTAGAAGAATTCCTTTAAGCAGCACTCTGATTTATCCCTTCCCAATCCAGAGCCAACCCTTAGATCTCACCTGCACCTATTTTGATCAGTTTAAAATCACTGATGAGGATGGACTGGTGGACATCTGTTATGAAGTTGGGTGGAAAACACTCCTTTCTTCCTGCATGGTGAGGTCGGAATGAAAGAAGTAGTAGTGAAAATTTAATGTAAAAAAATTAGAGAAGGTAGGCTCAAGACAGTTTTTTGAGTACCAGAAACAAGAATTTATTCACTCAGGGACACGACATCAGATAGCCAAGGTCTTGAAGTGAATATCAGCAGATGTTAAAGAGCTGAGCTTCCTCATCAGACAGTATCAGACATTGAATGTGTCCCCCACAGAGGAGCAAATAACTTCTCCCCAGGGCTTTGTCCTTCACAGGACTGTTTGACCTCACCCAGCTGATGGACCTCACCTCACTGACCGTAGCATTTCACTTCACTCTTCTGTGTTTAGGTTGAAAATGAGCAAGGCTGAAGCTCTTCTTACAGCCAAGAGCAGGTTAAATGCTTTTCCTGAGCTCGTGCTCCTCTAATTTGCTGGTTTCCTTTGGTTGCTGTTGTGGACTGTGTGGGAAAAGGAGGAATTTCAGACCAAAAATAAGAAGTGGCTTTGTCTTTATAAAAAAAAAAAAAAAGAAAAAGAAAAAGTTATATTTTTTGAGGATAAGGATAAAGATTGAAGTGAATCCTGCAGTAAGGATAGAACAGAGCTACTCTAGGTGTAGAGAAATCAGCCCAGCTCTTCTTCTCTGCTTCCAGGCCAACACTGAGAATGGATGTGGAAAGAAGAGCCTGTTCAGAGTACAGACTCTAAAACTGGCCATAACATTTGTCAGGAAAGCCCAGTGAGCAGAGCAGGGTAAAAAAAACCCAAAAAACAAACCCCAAAAAACCTGCAAGCAACTCCTGGTATTTGTCAGCCTCATCACACTTGCCTCATGATGAGGAAACACATTTTTCTCATGATGAGGAAACACATTTTTCTCATGATGAGAAAACACATTTTCCTGGTGATGAGGAAAATGGAGCTGCTATACCAGCGGTTCTTATTTCTTGTTCTATTTCTAATTAAGGTTTTGTTGCTTAAGTTGGAATATGTGGGTTCTTTTTTGAGCACAGATGTATTTTAGCAGATATTTGTTAGGTATTTGATGACAACTGACTTGGTACAATTAATTCCCTGCAGAAGCACTGACAGTTGTGCTGTTTAGGAGGGGAAAAAAGAAGAATATGGTCCAACATGGGCCTGGTCTGAGATCATGGCTTGACACATAGTGTTGTAAGAAGCAAAAGAAAAACAGAGGCTCCACTGCAGACAGGATTTATATCTAATTGTTCCAGCCTTGTTTCCTCCTGAAGTTGAGTCAGTGCTGCTGCACTTTTGAGGCTGGTGGCAGAAGCGAAATCTGAACCTTTGGGAGCCACTTTTTTTGCTGTAAAAGGGGGCGTCTGATCTCCCTTGCGCTGTCAACTCCCGCTTTTTCCAGTGGCTCCCTGAAAAACTGACAGCCAGGGAGCTTCAAAGCGAGGGAGGATCTGCTCAGCATCATCGCCTCCCATCCATCCAAAGGCAATGCCAAATATGACATCTGGCAACCGGGTTGGATGCGAGGGCTATTCCACATCACATCCACGGCAGCGCCTGCCAAAAGCGCCGTGGGCCAAAGACATTTTTCTCCATGGAAAAAAGCTTCTTTTGGAGAGATCAGAGATTGGGAGACGATCATGCCAAGCCATCAAAGCTCTGAAAAGGCACGTAGCAGATACAAGTGCCTGCAAATCAGATGTTTCTGCCTCAGAATCTGGTTTTGAAGCTTCTTCCACATTTTTTTTCCTTTTTTTCTCTCCAGCTGGCCTAGTCATCAGAAAAGAAGCTCATTTCAGTGAAGGCAACCATATTCTTAGTGAGGGAAGTTTCCTTTGTACACTCAAATGGATAAATTGCTACTGTGGATACCACAGGACCCACTTCTCCTTCAGTTTGTGCTGTTGGCCAGCCTGTGCTCTCTGTGGGAGGCTCAGTGCTATTAATCATGTCCAAACTCAGGGGATTAGGAAAAACACTGAGAAAACCCATGAAAAAGCTCTGGTTGATCTTCCTCCTGAGAGAAATAAATGACATTTTTGAAAAGTGTGCTCTACTAGAGACAAAGAGGTCTGGAAGATCATGTTGTCTTATCTTTGGTTTTGGAGGGAGAATAACAGAGAACATCAACCCATGCCTTGGATGACTTGCAAGTAGGATTTAGACCAGGACATAGCACAGATATTGAGTTAATCTAAAAAGTGTCTTTATCATAGGCAGGGACAGTATTAAGACCTGTTGTATCTTTGCTTTGTTTGACACAGAGGGATAAAAAAGAGGGAGAGGGACTTTTTATATGGGCAGATAATGACAGAACAAGGGGCAATGGTTTTAAACTGAGAGAGGGCAGGGTTGGATTAGATATTGAGAAGAAATCCTTCCCTGTGAGGGTGGTGAAGCCCTGGCACAGGTTGCCCAGAGAAGCTGTGGCTGCCCCTGGATCCCTGGAAGTGTCCAAGGCCAGGTTGGACGGGGCTTGGAGCAACCTGGTCTAGTGGAAGGTGTCCCTGCCCACGGCAGGATTTGGAACTGGATGATCTTTAAAGTCCCTTTCAACCCAAACCTTTCCATGATTCTATGATATAAAACCTTAGGTGTGCAGTGTATCCACCTCACCTGACACAACTGAGTTACTCTGGCACAAGAGTGGTCTGAAAAGCATCCTAAAGACATGCACTGACTTTAATGACCATAAAGTGTTTATACCCATAGAATCACAGAACCACCAAGGTTGGAAGAAACCTTCAGGATCATCCAGTGCCACCCTCACCCAGCACCACCACAATCACCCCTAATCCATGTCCCCAAGGGCCACATCCAGACACTTCTGGAACACTTCCAGAGAAGTGCAGGATGTGAGGGATCCCTGTGCACCTGCCAGGGAAGGTTCTTTGGCAACTGCCCACGTGGAAGTGACCCTGGGGTGCTGCCCTTCCACAGCAACACAAAGCAGCTGCTCAGCTTTCTGTGAACTTCTGTACCAAAACCTCCCCAGGAGTCGTCCCAGGATGTCCCAGGGCATCCTCAGGATTTTGCCTGCAAAGGAAAACAAAAGCAGATTTAAGTCCAGTAACTCTTCTGAATGTGAGCAGACAAAAAGGCCCATGGTCTTGCACTGTAGACATGACTTAAAATCACGTAACAGAATCACAGAATATCCTGAGTTGGAAGGACCCCCAAGGATCCCCCAGTCCAAGCCCTGGCCCTGCCCAGGACACCCTGTCCCTCAGAGCGTTGTCCAAACCCTCCTGGAGCTCTGGCAGCCTTGGGGCTGTGCCCACTGCCCTGGGGAGCCTGGTCAGTGCCCACCACCCTCTGGGGAAAGAACCTTGTCCTGAGATCCACCCTGAGCCTGCCCTGTCCCAGCTCCAGCCCTTCCCTGGGTCCTGTCCCTGCTCCCAGCGAGCAGAGGTCGGGGCCTGACTCGCTTCTCTCCCTCTGCTCTGACTCCACAAAAGTGCTGACAACTTCAGTGGGAGCCTGCAAACAATTAACCAGACTTTTACCTTCTTCCTCAAGAAGAGAGATGAAAACCACATTTGAGAGACAGGATAGAACAGAATGGATTGTATCCTGCACATCTCCCAAGTATGCAAATTACTTATTGGAGCCAAAAAGGCAGCCACGAGCCCAGCAGAACCTTAGATTACAGAAAGGAAGATAACAAGACAGGGGCCAACTGGTTGCTGTGTTGCTCCAGCTTCTTCCAAGTTCTCTTGGGCTGTAAAAATGGAAAAGGACAACATTTTGTTCAGAGATTAGAGGAGAGCCATAAAGTGAGAATACTCCACACTGCAATAAGGAGACAAACCCATCGCTCCCGGGGAAGTCAAAACCAGAATATCAGATTAGTTACACCGTATTAATGACATGTCAGTAGTTCTCAGCATCTACATTTATTCATAGTAAAAATATAAAATGTGGAGTTAATATTACACAGGTAAAATTTCCAAGTTATACTCGAGCATGTGGTTGAATCCTGGTTTGATTTGTGATCTAAAAAGGCCATTTTTCAACAGCTGCTGAGTATTTCAGTTTGGTTCAGCATGTACTTCTTGGGTAAAAAATATATCCATGGAAACGAAAAAGAATAACTTGAAAGGTTATTGTTTCTAGGAGGGTGGTGTGTTGATCAAGAAGAAATTGGAACCAGATTTCTGTTTAAATTCTGGTGTTAATTATGTGGTGCAACTCCCTCTGAAATTAATGGAGTTCTACATATAAAAAAAAAAGGGGACAATTGAGCTATTTCTGCTTCCTCTGTTATACATGAAGGCTTTGCCAGTCTACTACAGCACAGGGAATATTAATTATTAGAGGCTACAGTTACATCACCAACCACTACAGGGGAACTCCAAAACCTTTAAGATGTTGAATAAAATCGTTAGAAAAACAGCAAATCCCTTTTACAAAAGGCACTTAAGTGTCCAGGGCTTTCAGCGAAGGTAACACAAAATAGAGTTTAGGTTTAACTTGAGAAATTTGCTCAGGGCCTTGTTTTTCCCTTAACATAAAACTCCCAAATATGTCTTGGAGGAGTAGTTTAAATGACAATGTTGTAACCTTCATTTATAATGTTATATAATTATATAACATTATATAATATAATGATATATATTATCTAATATATATTATAAAATACAGAATATATTAATATATAGTATATATTATATTATAATTATAATATATAAATATATATATACTATATATTATATAGTATATATAAGTATAATATATATCATATATATAGTTATATATAATTATATATTATATATAATATTAATATATATATTGTTATATGATAGTATCTTAAAAGCAGAAATATAGCATTACTCAAGGGGCATTTAGGTTGCTTTTCTAAAGACGTTTTTAATACCTGATATTAGTTTTTCAAAGAGAAAGAGCAAAGTCTTTAACAATCCGGATATCACATATACCACAAAGAGGTATCACAAATTAGACACTGACATATCACCTTCTAATATCTACCTAGATATTACATACACCACGAATAGATACCATGAATTAGATGTTCTCCTCACAAGGACAAGTGTCCAATAGACTCCCACAGTGACAGGAAGAATAAATTCTGTTTTACTCTAACCATGGGATCATTGATATGTAATAATGTCGCCCAGCCTTTGGTAAATCCTCTGATAAATCCCTGCAAAGAGCTCCCTGAAGGTCAACGTTTTTGACAGGTCACATTTCCAAGTATTTCTCTTGGTTTAATTTCCCAGATTTACCTATATTAATAATGTCAATGATGCAATTATTCAGTCAACTAAATAAATGGGCATTTCACATGGAAAAGCTTTTCAGGATGGTTCAACTGAAGAGGTTGGGTGGGTTTTTTTTAACTTTTCAGCACTGTCTTAAAGAGATTTATCCAAAGGCACTGAGGCAAATGGGAATGTCTCTAATGTCTTCACTGGGACCTGGATCTGGCCCAAACCAAATGGGTATTAAAGCTCAGGCATAAAGTGTTGAGTCTGACTCTTACAGGAGCTGTGGTCAGTAATTAATGTGTTTTCTCTTTCCTGCAAGTCCCCATATCCAACAGGAGATACAGCCAAGATGCTCTCCCCGACAACTTCACGAGCTGCACCGCGCCCATGGCAGGCAGCAGGTACAAGGAAGAGATTTATGATTCCACCATCATGAAACACAACAAAATAGAACCCAGGATCCAGCCGCCTCCCCACCTCATTAAAGAGGAAAACAAGCTGGCCTTCAACAGAGACCTCCAAGAAAAAATGAGCATTAACGAAAGTTCTTTTTCAAACTCCATTGCCAGCTCCCTGCTGCCAAAATCGGAATGTTTCCAGTCCAAAGCTATAGGACAACTAAGCCACCTCCTGCCAATGCCCTCGGTGTACGAGCAAACAAGAAGGATTTGTGTGAAAGAACCCAAGTACGGGCACGTCGGTCACCACCACCCTGCAAACCTGGAGGAACTGGAGGGTGAGGAGAGAATGACTGTAAAGCTCGACCACGACTCCGAGAGCGAGCGTGTGATGGACGTGAGGCCCTCGGGACAAGTCCCCTTTGTGCTCCTAAATTACCACCACGTTCTGGCCAAACACGGCGCCTTTCAAACCTCGCCCTGCACGGCCACGGGCCACGTGGGGGAAAACTATGGATACAATTCCGAGGAGGTAAACACGTTTATTTACAAAAACCAAAGCCCCTCCTCGGCTTCTTCTCCAGAGACCCACAAGGAATCTGCACTACCCCATTATATCGGAACTTCTGTAATAATTGCCAACGGGAGGTGACGGTAACAGAGGAGTATTTACGTTTAATTAAGAAGCCAAACTGTAATGATTCGTGAAAAAAAAGGCATGAGAAAACACGGTTACATTTACTGAGAGCAGCTGAGGGTCGGGGAGGGACAGGCTCGTGTGACAGTGGTCAGGAAAAACAACCCCTCCATCCAGCTTCCCGTGCTTTGTTGTCCCAGACTGAGCTCTGGTGCCAGTGGGAAGACACATTACAGATCTTATTTTTGTTATTTTATAGTGTGCAACAAAAAGAAATGATAGGTGTTATATGCAGAGATTTATATGAAGAACAGGTGTTTTTTTTTTTCCTTAACCCCCTCCTTCTCAAAATACATTCAAGATTTTTTTTTTTTAATCATTAACTATACACTCTAGTTTAGGGGTTTTTTTGACAAATTGTGTGAAAACTTTACATCGGGTCTCCACCCCACACCCTGACAAATGAACTTTGTTGAGAGAGTGGTGATTTTCAGTGGCCACAAAACAGCTGTACTAACCAAACAGAACCCATGTTTGGGGAAAAAAAAAAAGAAGCTTATTTATTAATTATCCAAAATGTTTTAAACTAAATAAATCAAACCTAAATTTGATTTATTTAGCGTAGATTTCAGTGTTCTGACATTGTTACCACCACCATTCATCTTGACAAGGGACAATACAACAAATTAATACGTATTACAGGGTTACAGGTCTTGTCATGGCAAATTGGGACAAATTATGTAGCAGGAACTAACAACTATTCCCCATAAAGTGTTGTAATAAGAAAAAGAAACTTCTCAATCATGTGTTTCACTGGGAATTCTGGGAGAACTGTGCAGATTTTAACCCCAGCTACTCAAAAATGCATCTTAATAACAGCACCAGAAATGTTTTCTTTATAGTCAAGAGAATAAAGAACGTTTATGCTTTATTTTAAACTTGCCAGAACTGTGAACTTTGAAAGGTTCAGCTTTCAACACACTGAACTTCCTTAAGGATAAATCTTGTTGTCAGCACAAAGGTGGGACTGGGGTCTGACTGACTCGTGCACTTCACAAATCCCAAATTGCACAAACGCTCCCATTTTGTCCAGCCAATTAGGAATAGATTTTCACCCCCTTTATTTTTACTTCTTTGTAAAGTTTACAAACGAGGAGACACGTGGGTCTGTGTGTGTTTAATTGACAACAGTCAGTCCACTGTGGTTTTGAACCACTTCCCCAAACCTCCTCAATTCTTTTCTTGATAAAACAATGAACGACTCCATAAACAAGAGCCGTAAAAAACAACAACAAATGTTGCTGTAGATCCGAGTCAGCTCTGATTTTTAGCCCAATTCAAGGCTAATTCAGACTTTTCAAAGTCTCTCTTATCTCTCTAAAGAGACCTTCACTGAAGGAGACAACCTGGTCTAGAGGAAGGTGTCCCTGTCCATGGCAGGGGGTGGAACTGGGTGATCTTTAAGGTCCCTTCCAACCCAAACCATTTTGTGATTCTATTGATGCACATAAAGGATGGAGAACAGGTAATTTTTTGAAGTGTTTATTCCCTTATGGTTTTATCTGACAAGGTGCAATCCATGAGCAAGAGTTTTTCCATATTGCACCAGCCACATAAGTATTTTCTCAACTGATCTCAGAATGGTTTGGGTTGGAAGAGACCTTAAAGATCATCCAGTTCCAACCCCCTGCCACAGACAGTGAACCTTCCACCAGAACACAACAATACAGTCACTTCCTTCTAGGTATGAATATTTATTGCCACGAGTACAAAAAATGCTTTTAAATCATAGGTTTGAAAACAATTTTCAGTATTTGCATTGGTTAAAAATTAAAAGGTTAACAGAGAAGGTTTTATTATAAAGTATTATAAAGTATAAAGGCTTTATTATAAAGATGATCACTTGGAAGTTCTCAGTTGTCTGATGTTTTCAGTTGCATGAAAATTATATTTCATGCTAAATATAACAAAAAATACCTAATCAGTGATTACCAGAACAGTGACTTAAAAAATAAACAACAACCAAAAGCAGAATCAAACCAGCATAACTCAGTGTAACTGTGCTCCTTGGTTTGTTTAACGCTGGAAAAGTTGCAAGTCTCCAGAAAAGCAGCAAAAATGTAGATTATTATCACTCTGACTTTATAAATCGAAGGGATGAGACACAAGTTGGTTTTACAGTGGCTGTGGTTAAGAGCCTTCCCAGCCAGTGGTGCTGATAAATGACCCCAACTCCTTAAAAGACGCAATTATGTAAATGTTAATTTTGTTAAATTAAACCCATGTCCTAGAAAGGAGGAACTGGCATTGTTTGCATCCTTAAAAAGAAACCTGATGCACAGCTCTCACGCTGCACTTGGTACCTCATTAATGGTATTGCTGCACCCAAAATCTGCTGCATTTTTGCCGTTCTTCCGAGTCCTTCTCGCCATAAAAACACGGCTTTTGGGAACGTACAAATTAGGCTTTGGTTAAAAAACACCATTGATATTTCTCAGCAAAACACCACAAAATATTTCTCCAGCCTCTACCCTGTCATTCACACTTCCAGGCTTTACTCAGGGAGCCCGAGCAGAGGAGGTGTTCCATCATTCTCCCCCAGATGTTTTATGGGACGCGACACTCGGGCACCGGAACTTTCCCCTATTAGGCAATAACGAACCAATTACACATTCAGAAATGATAATATGGGGAAAGGGTTTTGGGAAAGACCTGTGATTACAAAAGCAAACGTGTGGAAGGTTTTTTTCCTGCGGTTCCAAACCCCAGAAAACAGCAGGTTTGTGTTCACAGCTGGGATGGGAGTCAATTATATCGAGAGAAAAATACGACTTTTAATCAGTTAAACTACAGATGTTCTCAGCACACTCGAGGTGCAGAACAGGGCACAGCCACCACAGTGGCAGTGGTTTTAATACTGGGAAAAAAATTATGACGCTGAAGTGGAGTGTGAATTGGAATATATTATGAAAAACCACCTCATTTCTCCCTTTGAGCCACTGCAGACGCCTTTGTCGTGAGGCTTCACGGGATTTTAACCCTTAGGGGGGGTTCAGATCTGGCAAGAAAATGATATGGAGAGTGAGAGAGGGAATATTCCATCAAAATCAAAGAATCATAGAGGGGTTTGGGTTGGAAGGGACTTAAAAGATCATCCACTTCCAACCCCCATGGACAGGGAACCTTCCACCAGACCAGTGTAAAGCAGGAAAAGTTAATCCCACATGAAGTTTTTACCCTCTTAATTGAAAGAGTGCAATGTAAATAAGGTGATAAGGGAAAAGACTCATCTCCAGGTCTCTGCAGCCCTGTGATTTGAAAAGGGGCATAAAAGTAATTTAAGGGAATTAAGCACAGTGGATGTAAAATTGGAGAATATATCACTGAAAGTGCAAACGAACGGGAAATCTGCCAAAATTTCTCTGAAAATCTCAAAACAGGACACAAATGGTTTTCTCAACACTTCAGTCACGCTTCAAAAACAACACAGAGAAAATGTTATTATTCCATTTCTTTTCCTGAACTTTAGATTTTGCTTTTTTTTTTTAATATGATGCAGGTAAAAAGCTATTTGGCAAGTGTAGGTGAAGAAGCACGCAAACCAAACAACCTATTAATGCTCAGAATTATATATGTATTCCCTAAAAAAATGTAAAGCATTTTTGCTTATTTATTATGTAAAACAAAACCGTTAAAATGTTAATAAAATCCTGTAGCCAAAGGAAAATCGAGCTGGAGTCCTCTTTTTCTTTTTAACCACAAAACACAGGGTTTCACAAATAACGGTGCATATTTGAAAATTTATTCCCATTGTGGTTTATATTTGACAATTAACATACTATAAAATACAAGGATTTTTTTTATTATTTAAATTTATTGTATTTTAGCCACGTTGTGTTTCAAAGGAAGACACTTGGGGGACTGCAAATAACACAGAATCACTAATGAGCTACTCAAGCACGAGATCAGTTTGCAATTCTTCCCTGCAGTTCTCTTTTCTCCATCATTTTTTGACCTCTGGTCCTTCCTCAGCCCAGATTTAATTTCTTTGGTGTCTGATCAGGGCGGTGCATCACTGCTGCCACTTACACATGCAAATGCTTTTATTAAACCAGTTGCCCCCAGGAATCAGCTCTTTGCAGCACAATGACAGACATTTTTTATACATATAAAGCTCCTGCGTGTTCCAAAGGAGTTGCACAGAGTAATTTTTTAAACTGCTGATGCAGCTGAATCAGGAAAAGCAAAGAAATAAATTTTTGTACAATGAAGCAGCAGCATAAAGGATTAAACGCTTTAATATTATTTCCAGGTAATAGCCCCTTGATTTGTTGGATATATCTAAAAAATAAAAAAGCTCTGAAGTCTTATAAACCTTTTACTAGAAGCGAGATGTGCTGCTCGAGCTCTTAAACGTTAAGCACATTATTACTTTTTCAAATCTTTGGAAGCAGCTTTGTTGCTGACTGGGCACAACCTGCTCGCCTCCCTCCGAACACACACACGTGCCAACACGCCCAGCAGAAGTTTTCCTATCAATAAACAACCTCCACAAATGTTTTCACAATGAGAAACGTTATAACAGAGTCCAGGAGGGGGGAAAAAATAAAAAAATGAAGTCACAGAAATATGGACGTCGTAATAAATGGGGTTTTTTTGAAAGCACTTCATCAAGAAAATAGTTTAAGATATGACATCAGCCCCACAATGGAAGAGGTGTTTTACTAATCCAGACAGTTGAACGAAATGAAACATTTTCAGTGCATTACTCCTGGGTCTGGAGTTGTCTGATTCTCTCCATACCGATGTCCAGAGACACTCTGCACCACATTTGTCTGAGAACAAGAATAACAACCATTTTCCTACAAAAATGCTGCGGCTTTCTGGGCGTGCCAAGCTTGGCACAGGAGGAGTCAGACTCCTGGCTGTGCTTCCCATCTACCTGACAGAGGCTCCCGGGCTTCTCCACAGGAGCAGCTGCTCCTCACAAGGACCTTACTCCAGGAATTCTCCCTGTCTTTGGTTCTTCTGAAGGGGAAGCAACAAACCCTCCATCCAAAGTCCAGG